ACCCCCCAGAAAACGCTCATGACGATGATGGGCACCAGTAGGCCGCCGTACGCCATTGCTGCCTCCTTTCACCGACTCCGGCTCTAAAACCAACGCTACGGCCGATCGACACCCCGTTTTCGATAGCCACGCCTGCCTTGGCTTCCTGGCCAATCGGAGGTGCCGTAGGACGGGCCTGCGGAAGGAGTCTCTTCGCTCCTCCTTGGTGGGGGCTCCACAGAATAACATTCTTAAAAGAAATTACCAGTATGGATCCAACTACAGAAACCTGCCAAGTACTCCATACTAATCCTAAAGACTAATAATAACAATAGGTAATTCTGGCAGTGAATTGTTTACCTTAACTCCAGCCTTGGTAATGGATATAGTTTGCTGCTCCATTGCTTCATGGATGGCAACTTGGTCTCTCATATCCATTTTGTCAAATTCATCAATGCAACACACTCCCTGGGGAAGAACGGAACAGGAGGCTTGTCAATTCCCACTTCCATTATAGGGACAAATAAAATAAACGATAATTCTTATTTGAAGCGGAAAGAATCATAATTTGGATAACATACATTATCTGCCAACATGAGTGCCCCAGCTTCAATAACGAACTCATAGGACTCTTCGTCTTTCACCACAGCAGCAGTTAAGCCAGCTGCACTAGAGGCCTTTCCACTGGTGTAGACAGCTCGGGGGCTGAATTCTTCCACATGCCTGTTGGATCACAATTGGTGAGTTAATGAGCAGCAACTTTACCAAAAATAGCAACAGCAGCAGCATTTAGATTTCTATATTGCCCCATAGTGCTACATAGCTATCTTGATTCTCCTTTTACCGACCTTGGAAGGATGGAAGGCTGAGTTAACCTTGAGGCAGTCAGGATCCAACTCCAGACTGTGGGTTATGGCACTTTAACTATTGCGCCACCAATGCTAGGGTGACATAACAGCAAAGACTAGAGTTTGAATAAATGCTCATCAACAGCAAAGAATAACAATCTGTGATACTGCTGAACTGTGATACTGAACCTGCTGCTTTGGATTCAGATCAGAAGTAGCACTTTGAAGCTTGCATGATTTAAAATACAATACTCATGTGCAAGTTGTACAGCCAACCATGTCTGGTTTTTTTTTTTTTTATAATTCAAGGCATCCACAGGGTCCTCGACTTACAACAACAATTAGGACCAGACTTTCCATTACTAAGTGATGTGGTTGTAAAACATGACCACATCACCGCATCGCTTAGTGATGACAATCCCTAAATACCTGGTGAGCATTCACTGAATTTCCCAGCCTTTAGGTGAGGCAACGTCCTGATAAAATTTTATTTTTGAGTTTAAACATCTCTTCAAAACTTTGCACAACTGTACTAATTCTAAGTCAAGCAGATTTTTCCTACAAAAGACCATAATATTTGTGTCAAACAGATACATAAACACTTGCAAGGAGATTTCATATTATCTTTTCATTTGTGTGTAAAAGAATGTTGCAACAATTGTACTCCATTGAATACTTGCTTAAAAAGTTAGCAAACACAAATATTTTCAACTTTAACTAAAAATTATTTCACATATATGCAGATCTGTAAACCATGCTGTACAGCTAACCCTGCCATAGTGTTAGAAAAAACTTACTTTAAAAACTGGCTTTTGGCAGTACTCGGATCACCAACTACGCAAACATTGATGTCACCACGTAATGAAGTGCCCTCTGCTGTTGTTTTAGGAACTCCACCAAATAGCATGAGCAAAATCCCCCGCTTTACTTCATCATTACCTAGAGCACAACAAGTGAATGTTAGGTGTATTAAAGATTTTAGAAATGCATGCATTTAAAAAAGATTCTTTGGGTAAATGTATATACATTAAAAGGCAACTTATTTTCCAGCTATTGTGATGTTGGCCTCAACAATGCTCAAAACTCAGTAAAGTTGCTTGTAATGGAGCAGCATCAATCAGGTCAAAGAACCACAGGAATCTCCACATTCATTATTTCATTCCATCTTTTAAAGATGTACAGAACATGACCAAGAAGCATTACATTGGAACATTATCTCATAAGGCTTCCTTATATTTGAACTTTTTTTTCAGCAAGGGATAAGTAAGAAATATTTTTAGCATTTTCACCAAATTTTTAGGACCTATGTGAATAATATAGTTTTTGATGCTTTCCCCCTTTCCTTTAATGTTATTCACATTAGTGTAGTCATATATATGTAAACATGTTTACATTTATTTTTCTGTTATTTCATTTGTTTTAATAAACTATACTTTAGATATTATTTTATATCTTTCTATGGCACTGAATATAACTATTTGCAAAGAGAAGTCCTTTCTGGGGAAGAGGTTAAGAAGGAACAAAACCTTTCAGAGAAAGACTGGAGGAGACAAAATTATTTTCACTAATGAACACTTTGTTATGAACCATCTCTCACTATGTTTTGGAGGGCCCCAATCTCCAGAAGGAGCTTTCCAAAGGACTGCGGGTGGTGGTAATAAAATTTGTCTCCTCCATGTCTAAATCAGAGAATAATCATAGTTCAAAAACAGTCTATATTGGACTGCTGACACAAGATAGTTTAACAGGCCAACGTTGCATTCAGCTAAAATAAGCAATTTAAAATAATCTGTGAAACAAAGTCCAAGTTTATCATTTTGTTATTAAGGTGCAGAGGTTACTTGATAAACAAAGAAATAATGAGGTATACTGATTAAAAGATTAGGGCAAACGTCTGAGTCCTTTCTCCCTTCAATGGATCACTCGCTACTTCAAGGCAAGTATAGGCATTTGCACGTTTCTGAAGCCTACATTACTTTCTGGATCCCAAATACACGGTACCAAAAAAAAAGGCTGCTAACAATTAATTGTTCTGATCTCTTCAGAAGAGATATTTATGGAGAGAGTTCCAGATTAGATGCAGTTTATATAATTCATTTGAAAGCTTTCCAAATAATTTTAAGATAATAATTAAGTCTTACCATGTATGGTGGGAAAGAGGCTTGTACAAAGGTTGTGGTACAGGTTTTTATCTTGGCTCATTTCAAATACTTTTTCCCATTCCATCACAGACATCTGATTTTTAATGTTTTCTGCAGTTTGTTCCTCGTCTCGAAGTTCTTTGCCTCCAAACTAAGATTAAGATAAAATAACACAAATTCAAAATACTGCAGAAAGTAATTCAATAAAATTTAAATCCGGAGACAGAGAAGAAGTAGTCATCAAATCAAGTGGGGAAAAAAACTAGGCATTGTGTTATTCCCCCATGAATATTTTTTTTAAAGTGAGATGACAGTGAAGAATGTGTGATCTCACAGCACAGGTGGCAGAACAATCTGCAAATTAAAACAACTTCTATATGCAGAAAACTAATGTATCGGGGGAAGAAATCTTTTGGGGGAAAAGTTCTATTATTGTTGATTTTGCAGCCAGTACCTATAGAAGAAGCTGCAGCAGCAGTGCAACAATTCCATCCCCTCATTCTTATGTTGGACAACCTGGTGAAGACACACCAGGAGCTTACTTTAAATTGGGCAAATTTGGAAGCAAGGCATTTAAAAATATATACTGCACGAAAAAAGGTTTTGCTAATTATTTAACACATACTATTATCAAAACAAAAAAAATGTTTAGGTAAAAACTTCCAACATTCAGTAAGGAGGAGTAGAACCATAATAAAATTCCACAATTGGTTTCTTTAAAATGATCCTTGTTACTATTTTTCCATTAGCCAGACTCACCCTGGGGTTTGTTGGAGCGACGTAACAGGCTAGAAAGACCAATTTATAGGACAGCTCTCTGACTCCAAGTGCCCGAAGACCTCGGACGCCTTCAGATTCATAGCCTTCTTTTCCAGTCACACGAGAACCAGTTTCTGCTCGTACACCTATAAAATTAGGACTTTGAAAGTTCTGCTTGTAGAATGCATATATTGGGGAAAACAAACCCAGCTACCCACTAATATCCCTCTAAAGAATTGAAGAGGACATTGGGGGCAGGCTACCATCAGAGTCCCAATTTATGCTTCATATTAAGTCGTGGATAGCTTTAACCATAGGTCTCTGAACTAGCCACAGGGACCAGGATTCATACATAGCGCTAAGCTAAACACCATGATATATATCAATATATATCTAACCCTCGCAAGAGAATAGTTCTAGGATTCTAGAACAGTAGAATAATAGCAAAGCAGCCTTCTGATGTGACCGTTTTTAAAATCAAGCAGTGCAGGTGCTTGATGGTTGTTCAAACTTCCGTCAGATCTCTGCAGGAGGTAGATACAACCTGGGTCCAAATGTTGACCATTCCCCCCATGGTCACATGATATCTCAGTTGCTCAGCAACTGGCCTTCATTTACAACCGTTTGCAGCATCTCCGTCATGTGACCATGTTTCTGCTTTTGCTGAAAATCACTCCATTTACTTATGTTTTCAGCATAACTGGCCCATAGCGAACTATTAGTCCGCTATGTTGGCTTAACAACTGCAAAATAAAAATAAATATAAGTCACGTGATTTATGACTGTCAATTTTAAGCATAAGTTGAGAACTAAGTGCAATCTATGTGATCCCTAAGCTTGCAATTTAAAGCCGCTTATTTCAAGAAGATTACAGGTAGCCTTCAGCTTACAACAGTTTATTTAGCGACCGGTTGACATTACAACAGCACTGAGAAGTGACATGATAGTTTTTCACACTTACAACATCCCCATAATCACATGATCAAAATTCAGATGCTTGGCAATGACTCATATTTACGATGGTTGCAGTGTCCCTGGGGTCATGAGATTTTGCGACCTTCTGACAAACAAAGTCAATGGGGAAGCCAGATTCACTTAACAACCGGGTTACTAACTTATCACCAGCAGTGATTCACTTAGCAACTGTGGCAAAAAAGATTGTAAAATGGTGCAAAACACATTTAACCAATGGTTCATTTAGCAACATAAATTTTGGGCTCAATTGTGATCATGAGGTGAGGAGTATCTATACCATATATTAAGAATTTACAAATATCTTCAATATTGAAGATTCTAGATAGGATTCACCAACCTGGGGTGGACAGTTGTGATACATCTGGCACGACAATGAGAGACCCTGTGAAGTCACACTTGTCACCAGCCTGCGCAGACTCTACAGCCTCAGCACGCAAGATGACTTCGACGCTACGAGGAATGCTCCCCCGAGGCAATTCAGCCTGGGTTTCTTGAATGCGAACCTGGGAAGACAGGACAGAGACCTTCAAATGCCCTACCTTAGCATGATTAAAAATTAACCCTGAATATTTTTAGCACATGGAGTTGGAAAAGCAGCAAACAGATGCTTGTGTTTTATACCAAATTGTAGCTAAGGAAGTTCTAAAAGAAAGCAAAAGGAAAATCATTTAACAGATTCCCTTTAACTTCTGAACTAGGAGAACAACAAATCTTAGGAGACATAACGCCAGAAAAACAAGCTTGTTTTTATTTTTGGTTATGGCAAAAAAGCAGAAATAAGATATTGGGGAGTGGGGGTGAGTTATTAAAACAATGGATTTCCAAAGAAAATAGAAATTTCACAAATAAGCATTAAAAGATACATGAATTAAGTTGGCGTTAATGCATTTGTTTTGGTAACCACAACCTCATAATTTGTGAAAATGTGCATACAGTACGATAGCTACCTGTGTCAACATCTCTACCTTTCTAATAAGTCATAAAATCCACTAAATTCCACTAGAGATCCAGTATTAATTCAGAGTTGGTATAGCCAGTGAGCTGTTGAGACAGGCTTGTGAAGATTATTCTGCTCCTCCTTTGAATCAGGAGTCTTATGCTTCCCTGCACTAGCAATGAGAAAATCAGAGGGGAAATAAGATATAGCAAAAGAAAAGGCAGGAAGAGGCACTAACATCTTGTTCACATAGGGCCCAAAGTTCATATTTTGAAGTACAGGTTAGTACTCGGTTAATAAATGGTCAAAGTTATGATGGAAGGCAAAAATGGGACTTATCACCCAAGTGAGAAGTTCTGACATTGGCTCCCCACTGCAGTCATGTTACTGCATCTTGGGCATTTGGCAACCAATTCGCATTCATGGATATTTGAGTATCAGAATAACAAGAGTTGTAAGGGACGTTGGAAGTCTTCTAGTCCAACCCCCTGCTCAAACAGGAGAACCCATGCCATTTCAGACAAATGGTTGTCCAATCTTTTCTTTAAAACCTTCAGTTTTTAAGCACCCACAACTTTTGAATGCAAGCCATTCCATTGTTAATTGGAAATTCCCGTTAGGAAATTTCACCTTAATTCCAGGTTGTTGTTCTCAAGTGTTTCCATCCATTGTTCCTTATCTTGCCTTTTGGTGCTTTGGAAAATAGGCTGCCTCTTTCTTCGTGGCAGCCCCTTAAAAGACTGAAACTCTGTTATCATGTCACCCCTACACCTTCTTTTCACTAGACTCGACATACCCAATTCCTTCAACCGTTCCTCATATTTTATTCTCGAGACCCTAAATCATCTTAGTTGCTCTTCTCTGCCCTCTGGAACGAGCTCCCCGTGGAGATCCGGACCCTTCCTACCCTCCCGGCCTTCCGTAAAGCTACTAAGTCCTGGCTGTTCCGGCAGGCGGGGGGCTGTTAAAGCACCCAGCCCCGTCTTAATTGTGACTGTGGTGAATTTTAAAATTGTTTGTATTGTCTTTTTTATTCCCTCCCGTTTATTGTGAGCCGCCTGGAGTCCTTCGGGAGTGGGCGGCATACAAAACCAATAAACTCAACTCAACTCTGCTCTAGAGGCACAGCAACTTTTTTATAATGTGGTGACCAGAACTGGATGCAGTATTCCAAGTGTGGTCTGACTAGGGCTTTATAAAGCAGTTCTAATACTTCAGATGATCTTGGTTCTATTCCCGTTTATGCAACGTAGGATTGTATTGGTTTTTTGGGGGGCTGAAGCACACTGCTGGCTCATATTTAAGTGGTTGTCCATTAGAACTCCAAGATCACTGTCAGTTTCTCCTATTAAGCCACATTTCACCTAATCTGTACCTGCACTATTTGGTTTCACTTGCCTTACTTACTTTTCTTTACGCAGAATTTCATTTTGTTAAATAGAACCCAGTGTTCATGTTTGTCAAGATCCATCTGGATTTTGAGCTGATCATCTAGAGCAGTGTTTCTCAACCTTGGCGACTTTAAGTTCTGTGGACTTCAACTCCCAGAAACCCCAGCCAGCTGTGCTGGATTCTGGGAGTTGAAGTACACAGGACTTAAAGTCGCCAAGGTTGAGAAACACTGATCTAGGGTATGATGGCGAACCTTTCTGGCACGGAGTGCCAAAAAAGGAGCGTGTGCATGTGCTCATTGGGGACGCTCCATGAAAGACAAGCTTCCAAGTGGCATGTACACGCCAGGAAATGAACTTCTGGTTTCCAGCGCACTGGACCAGCCAGCTTGTCTTCCGGATATTGGCGTGCATGTGCATGCGATGATCAGCTGGACGGAGTGCATGCTCACAGACCAGTTCTTCAGGTTTCCAGCACTGCCACACATGTAAAAAACACTTCATTGTTGCTCACGCATGCACGCAGGAAACCCAGAGGAAGAATGGGCGATGCTGCGCATGCCAGCCAACATGGTTCCATGTGCCACTTTGGGCATGCATGCCATAGGTTCGCCATCATGGATTTAGGGTGTAGGAAGAAGTATGGAGCCTTTGGAGTATCTTGCTCTTCAGAGCTGCATCTTCCACTTTCCACCAGGGGAAAAGCCAGATTCTCTAATGCCAGCACAGTAATCCCTACACTTCTGTCAACACCATTTGCAATGTTTTTTACTGGAAACTGGTATTTATTTCTAGTTTCTAAGAAAAGCCATCCCACAGCAAATAATGGATTCACTTAAGTGTGATGTTCACTTTACAATAGCTGAATCTATTCAATCATCATCATCTTTTAATGACCCCATAATCCTTTGCGGGGTGGAGTCTGGGCAACTGAATGGAGTTGAGTGTTTACTGGCCAGATGCCCTTCCTGTTGCCAATGCAGAGTTACAGCTGACTCTGTTTAATGATCTCCGCAAAAAAAAGGTCTCAGGTCACGCAGCAGTGGTGGGTTGCACATCCCATTCCAACCGTACCGGCAGTGTCCTCATGGACGCGGGCAGCATGCACGTGTTCAAGCGCCTCCGCAACGCTCCAGCTGTTCCACGGAGCATCGCGCAGGTGCTGAATGTGCCATGAGCCTGGGCGGAAGTCTTTAAACTCCGGTAAGGAGCTCGGGCGGGCCCTCTGGAGGTATGGAGCATAACGGAACGGTATCCGGTGCTCCGGGCTGGCTCCAGTATGTCCATACCAGGGTGTACCGCCTGCAACCCACCACTGTCATGTAGTGGCCCACTTTATTGCCATCATGACTTATGACTAAAATTGTGGACTCTATTAACGTTGTAAGTGGAGGACATCCTGCAGCCTGTTTGAGAAATCGATCTGAGCATAGCACACTGTTGTTTAAAATTCCAATACCTTTTGGAAGTCAACAAACCGGGATCTGTTTGTATCCAGAAGAAATCGCTTCCTATTGGCACAGACTGGGTTTCTACAGATGTTGGGCTGTGTGTACTTGAACTGCTGCTCCACGTCTTTTATCACCGTCTGGCAATCCAGACAGAGAAAGGTTCCACTGACAAGCTCTGGGTGAACCGGGTGGGTACGAACTACTTGTCCGCTAATACGTATGAGGGATCCGATGCGGGCTGAAGTCATTTCTCGAATTCTTTTCAGGAAACAAAAGTCAAGTTTAAAAGCTTTTCATCTTTAACATGCAATTCAGAAAATCAGATTGCAATTACCCAGTGGATTGTGGCCTATTGTTTCCTACGGAATGGTAGCCTTGGCAAGTACAAGGCTTTCTGTAACTAAGAAAAGAAAGTTCCTGCTGTGCTATCGGTAAAGACAATGCATACGGCTATGTTGACGTCTGTGATTTTAGGGTTAGCAGAATGTCACCAACCCCTTATAGCATTATAGTCCAGGAACATCAGTTGCAGAATTTTCACTATCCTCCACTTAGCTTTTAAAATGGCTTGGATAAGATACCTTTATTAAATCCTTTACAAATTCCAGATGAAAAATTGCATCAGTACAAGACAGTACAACACAAGCTGTATGAACTTTTATATACCCGATAGAAAACAAATATTGCAGAAGAATTTTATTCATTTGTTTATGGGGGTGCTCAGCTCATAATCATACATAGGCAAGGAATAAAAAAATAATAATCCAGATCAAACTAGGCCAATTCACCATTCAGGCTAATAGTCACAACTAACACTATCTCCAGAGGCTTAATGAAACAACTAAGTCAGTGATGGCTAACCTTTTCGGCAGAGTGCGAAAGTACCTCACCGTGCATGTGTGCACAACCCTCCTGCGTTCGCCCCACACATACTCAGCAGAGACCCAAAAACCAGCTGGCCAGCGGGAAGTGCATGCGCGGCGGAACAAAGCTGGGGCAATGGCTTGCGTGCAATAGGTTCACCATCACAGAACTAAATCATTACAAGCTGTCTAAAAGTCAAATAGAGAGATATTCCAATATCTGAGCGAGAAATATCTCAGAAGAGTGGAGTAATGATTGAATAGGCATGCTTTCATGTTCCCTACATGTGATCGCCTGTAAATGAAGGGACAGGTAGCAAACTCATATTTTTGTGTCTTCGCTGGTGGACATGTCACACAGGCTAACAAAATGCTCCTTCTTCTTAGAGGCAAATTGCATAGATTTGCAAGCAGCCTTTGCTTAACTGTGCAGGGCAATGCCAGAATAGATTATGCTGAATTGTGGATAATCACATAAAGAAATGCCTTTAATACCAAATTACTATTTCCGTGTTACAAAACACTGTAAAAGTGACAATTTAATCATTAAGATTCTTACTTGTGCCTTGTAGGTAAATCTTGGAAAGCCACATAAAAATCTTTGTTAGGAGGAACAGTTCCGTGATCTTTGGCGAATGTTTTTACAGCCCGACACAAGAAAGGGTACACTCTAAAATAAAAGACAGATTTATAAGTGAAAGAATTATGTAAGCTTTTGCATCACCCTGACTCTTTGTGTATCTTATAAATTTCCCTATTGGCTTAGAAGTTTAATGAAACAGACAATGTTTAATGCAAGTTAAGTTTGCAAGTATAAATGCTGAATTATTTCCCACAAGTCATGGGATTTTGTAAACGCTGTGTTTGTTTCTATTTTTATTCAAAAGGCTGAGCCAAACTATCTTAAGATGCAAATGATAATTTTTCTTTAATTTTTTTTTTAAAGTAAGCTTTAAAATTAGGTCCAATGACTGTCAGAAGTTGCAAAAGGTGATCATGTGACCCCGGGACACTGAAACCATCAGAAATAAGAACCAGTTGTCAACCACCTGAATTTTGATCATGCAAGTCATATGAAAAATAGTAATGTCACTTTTTTCAATGCTGTTGTAACTTTGAATGGTCACTAAAGAAATGATTGTAAGTCGAGGACTACCTATCTTAAGTAATTCCCTGATATTCTTGAAAATGTTCCCATTAACCCCAAGAATATTCAGACTAGTGATCTTGAAACTACCACTTCTATAATGATTATATGAACATTTTGGATATTCTTACCTATAGAACTCTTCTTGGATTGTGGTAGCAAGTTGTTGATTGAATTGCTCCAGATCCTCAAAACTTACAGTTAAGGTGTTTCTCTCTGGACGAATTAGCTCTTCTGCATCTTGCAAGTATTTAACTTCTCCATCAGTATTCTGGAATCTTTTAGGAAATAATTTTGTAGAATTATTTCCTACACAGCAAGTTTAATTATGCATTACTATTATGTAGTGAATATGAAAGGATTATACTGAGACCCCACCTCCCATTACTTAAATATTTCTGTGAATGGAAATTATTCTCTATGCAACCTTTCAAATTACAAAATGTGACACAATTATCTCTGAAAATTAACACTAATGTTTTCTCTACAAAAATAATAAAACATTAACAAATCAGTTCTGGACTGTGTAAAATAAAAAAGGAAACATACGTTTAGGCTAAATTGTGCCCCTCCCCCCAACCTGATGAATTAAATTCAGGAGTTCAAGGAAAAGTAGCTCATTTTGATGCAACACTGTAAAATATCTTTATGTTTAAGCAACATTACATGTTTTAGTATATCTACACTAACTGAGGTTTTATTCTTTAATAGATACACACACATGCCTTGGTGCAGTGTACTTTTCATTCCTACTTGGAAAAGAAATGAATAAACAATTGAATTTATGTGGGAATAAGCTAGGATAGCATTGCTTTAAAAAAAAAGATCATATAGCACATAAATGTTCAGTTGCTTAAGCAGATTGAGTTATTTCTGCTATTCATTTGTTGAAACCATATACTCCATTATTGCTTTTACATTGATGTTTTTAGAATGTCATCCTGCTTTATCCTCGAGACAAATACAACAGGGCACCCAGAGAACTTCTATAGTTATTTGATACATGAGATAATAAACAAGAAACTCAACATCCAGAAGGCAGAGTTTCAGTATCTCCTGGAACAAGCTCTAAGCACACTCATATATCTATATTAAAGAATTCTGAGAAATACAGTCAAATCCATTCAGAGCTACAACCTTAGCAAATATGGAATACAAAGTTTTCCCCTCCATCACAAAAGATTGCATGGTCTGGACTAGAAAGCAAAGCAACTGTTGAGTTCCAGGCCTGCCTTAACCATGAAAGCCAGCCGGGTGACTTCGAGCCAATCATCCTGTCAGCTCATCCCACCTCACAGGGCTGTTGTTGTGGGGAGAACAGGAGGGGCTGGGTGCGTTGGATGTTTGCCACGTTGAATTATTTGTAAAATGAAGGCGGGATATAAATAAAGAAAATAATAAAAAGAAATGGCATTTCTTCAGCGCTACCTATATTGGAAAGTTGCAGATTTTATCAGTAATTATTTGCATTCTGCATTATCGCATTCTCCAATAGCTCCCGCGGAATTTGAACGGCTTTACTCCAGGTGTATTTTTTACCCCAGTGCATGCAGGGGAAATGGAGGCAAAACACACGTCCCCCCCAAAAAAGATTCCGTTGTGTACAATGGAGCCCACCGTCCACCACCCGGTCTGGAAGCAGGGCTGTCACTCACTGTTCGAGAAAGTCTTGAAACAACTTCTGGCATTTCTCGGCCACCTCATCGCGGAGCTGTTTCTGAGCAGCGGCCAACCCAGCTTCCCCGCCGGCTACCAGATCCATCCCGGTTCCTCTCCCCTCCGACTGCCACCAGAGCAATGCTGAGAATTCGCGCCACTGCTGAACCCCGCGTGGCCCAGCCTAGCCAATCGGAAGCTTCACAGCGGAACGCCCGCCCCCTTGGAATGTTCCCCGGGGAAAACTTTTCGCGCCAAATGCGACTCAAGGAAGAGGAAGCAGAAAGTAGGGGGAGAGGAAGCGGGGAGCCATGCACGGCGTTGCAAGGGCAGTCTGGGAGTCAGAAAACCGAAAACGGGAGGGATTAAGCCTTGGTTAAAAACCACCTCCAAATACGATCGTTGCGTACTTGATTGCGGAAGTGTTAAGTCAGCTTTGGAGGAAAGGGAGAGGAATACAACACACAATGCAAGTCTTACAAGTGACTTTCCAAAAGTAAGCGACGTTGCTCTTGCAGGAACAAGCAAGAGAGATTGGGAGAGAAAAGTGGTTTGCTTGCAGGATGCCTAAGATAAATAACTTAGATGCATATAATTATAGAGCCAGAGGTCGCAGAGTACGGATGACTTAGTTGACAACAAAGAAGGAATGTTTTCTACGTATCTTGTCTGGGGTTTCCAGGTAGTTACTGCAGTTCTAATGTTTTACATTACCACTTTACTAATTTTTTGCTAACTTGGAGATTTGGAATTTGGGGTTTTCATTTTGATCTTTTGTTAACCCTCAGCATTTTTTAAAAAAGAAGATTTTTTTAAAAAGTTGATGGATACATTGCAGATGGATTCAGATCTACTGTCTTATCTCAGAGAATGAAAAACATGACAACCTAAGACAGGTAGTCCTCGTCTTATCACAATTGAGCCCAAAATTTATGTTGTTAAGTTAGATTTTTGTTAAGTGGATTTTCCCCCATTTTATGACCTTTGTATTCACAGTTGTTAAGTGAATCATTGCAGTTAAGTTAGTAACCCGGTTGTTAAGTGAATCTGGCTTTCTCCTTGACTTTGCTTGTCAGAAGGTTGCAAAAACTGTTCACATGATCTTGGGACACAACAATTGTCACAAATTTGAACTAGTTGCCAAGCATCCAAATTTTGATCATGTGACCACAGCGATAGTGCAATGGTCATAACTGTGAAAAATGGCCATGTCACTTTTTCCAATAACAAACACTTGTAAGTTAAGATCCACCTGTATAACATTTGTAATTTGAACAAATAGAAAACAAATAGATTTCATAGTAAACAAACATAGTTTAAAATGTCTGAGTAAGTTTTCATCTGGTTTCAAAATGATAGCAAGATAGCAGTGTTTAGAGTTTAGAGTTTTATTTCATTTGTATGCCGCCCTTTTCCCTAAGGGGACTCAGGGCGGCTCACAACTCAAAAAGGAAAGGGGGGGATACAAACAATTTAACAAGAACACAAAACTATACATAGTTAAAAAGCACAACAATCATACCATTCGAAATAGGGGCATGGTATATGTGGGCGACAAGGAGAACAGCAGGGACTTAAAACGGGGAAAGTTAAAAGTGAACATGGGTATTGTAA